TAGCAATCCAACACAGGTAACAGGATGACTGGACTATGGAGCAAATTACCCAACCCTGATATCAGAGCTGAAAAAAAAATAAATGGAAAAGCTAAAAGTTTAGTTGGCCAAACGGCAAACGTGTGCAATGTGGAGACACTGAGTCCAGATTACTGTAGAATGTACTATTCAGTACATCACCACAAAGCAACTTAAAAGCGTTGTGCTCCACTGGACCTCAGTGGTAATGAATGTTCAATGCAACTTTCACATTAACCCATTTGGCTGCAGTGTGTGCATGAAGAGAGGCCACTGTAAAGGATCTATGTCTCCACTCTGAATGTCCTCATGCTCGCTGTCAGCCTGCATTTGTAAAGACACAGTGTGCGTGCTCACATGCATGAGTAAGCCATTATAACAATCGGGACAATCTACGCCGCCTCGGCTCGGACCCTTTTGAAAGTAGAAAATAAGGAGGGGAGAGTGATTCACAATAAACAAGAGGAAAGTAACTGGTGATAAGATTAGTACCTCCAGAGCCAGCGCCGTCTTGTCGTAAGCGTTGGGCACCCGCTTCTGAATTGCCCGTGCATAGACCGGCCCGTTCTGTAGGTTTGGGAGCTGAGTGTTGACCACAGGCTGAGCATACGGGCCCGGTTCCCCCAGAGCAGTGGCCTGAGGAGAACCTGTTCCATCTGTGCTGCCCATTACCCCGCCAACATGGCCGCCTTGTCCGGTCCCTGCGGGGACCGGACTAAGACTGGCTGCAGTGGGCGAAGAGGGTCGGTACCTTTCCACATAAGGCACAGGGATCATCCCGACTCGGCCCTCCTGGTTCTTGGCGTGCCACCACTGCTCCTCTGGTTTCTCCAGCACGCGCAAGATGTCCCCCCTGCGGAAGGGGAGGTCCTCATAGTCGTTGCCAGGGAAGTCAAACAGTGCCCGGACATACTCGGCTTCCTCGGTCTGCTGGGGAGGTCCGACAGCGGGGGGGCTGATGAGGCCTGACTGCCTGCCTCTGTTCACAGGCTCTATGAGCGTTGTGGTGTCCAGGTAGTGGATCTTGTAGAACTCCAGCAGAGCCGGCAGCCCATCAAACTCCTGATCCCCAATCCGAAACCGAGAAGGAGCCAATCCTGGTGGAAGAAGTGAGACTTTATTAGCTTGCTAAAAAATAAAAAAAATAGAGGAACCAGGACAAACCCCTATTTCATAATAAAAAAATTTGCCACCTAGCCTGTTTGTTTTTTGTTTAATAAGCACGTTAAGCTGTGCACACATAACCATTTTAGTGAAAGAGATGAAAGAGAAAATGAAAGTGTGCAAAAAGTCATGTGATCAATGTTACCTAATATAACTTAATAAGCCATTATATAAATCTCTTGATATTAGAAGACAACTAATAACAGATATGAATAAGACCAAAGGCAGGTAGGTTCCTTTAGATCGACATGCAACATTAACAGTGATCATACTGTATTGTGATCGTAATTGCAGAATGACTGTCCGGTGCCCTTCCCTCCCATCCTCAGAAGTCTGAATTCTCAAGTACATTTGCCAAATAGTGTACTGAGCAAGCACACAAGTACAAACTTGGTGGTGTTAGAGAAACACCCACTGAAGTGGAGCTGTCCACTGTGTTTGTGCTGTTGGTGCCTGTGGGAGAATTTGTCATGTAACTAGCTGACACATTAGACCTGAGCAGATTGATTTTTGAGGGATAATAAAATTGACAATGCATCAATAAAGGCAAACAGTATCTAGCCTACTTCTCACTGATTTACTAATTTCCACGAGGGCTTGGTACAGCCAGATAAACGACAGAAGGGAAGAGCAGCAGAGCAAGTTTCTGCAGGACGTGGATTCAGGAATGACTCAATTATGACACTGTGTCACTTTGAGTTCAACTGTCCTGACTCAAACAGCACCACAGCTGAATTAAGCACTTGTTTGTCATTTCAAAATAAATGTGACGACTATGCGGTGAATCACTTTGTGTACAGTCTCTTTTACCGTCTATGAGGCCATCCCCTGATTTACTACTGGGAAACAAGACACAGGGAAGTTCAGAAAGGACGAGGATTGTGCAACAGCCATTAAGGGCCTCAAGCACAACGACAAAACATGCAAGTACGGGTCTGTGTGTGTGCAACAGGGCCTGATCACAGACATTCCTGAAGCACCAATCTGACCAGTCATCCCCCGTTGTGACAGCGGAACTTCCCCAGTTCATTCAACCTCTGCAGCAGCAGCAACAGTAATAACAGTTGCTCACACCAGCTCACCTTACCTCTTTACCTGCTGAAGGGTAGTCCTGCTGCTAAACAGGGACAAAACACCACCAAAAAATATATTACCCGTGACAAAAACAGTGGCTGTCATTCAGCCACTGTTTTTGTCAAGGGTAATATAAAATGCGGTTGTTTACTATCCTTTAAAGAAACCTCCATCAACCACACATGGGGATTAGATTCAATAAAACTACTCACCTTCATTTTTCAGTTAAAAGCAACACTGGCTCACAGAACTTAGTAAAACTATATAGCAGTTTTAAAAGACAGCTTTAATAATCACGGGAAGTTATAAACCTACATGTTACTGTACATATATGTTTGTGGCTTTAGGGAAGTAATGTTAATTAGACAATTCCTGAAAGGAGTGCAATGTTGCTTGAGGAGTTTGTGGGCGGGGTAAATAGTGGAGATTTATTACATACATGCCGACTTTTTAAAAAGGTTTTAAAAACCCAGAAAGATGTAGATTTATAGGGTAAATAAGGGAAAACATTTTGGATTTAGTGAAATCTTGTTAAATAGGACAATTCCTAAAGGCAGTCGGGCTGGCTTGCGGAAAGAGGTGTGTACAGCATACCTACAAAGTTTTGTTTTGCATCTAAGATTTCATTATTATATGAATAATGATTTTAAAACTGAGCTTCAAAAACACTAAAATAAATAAATGTGTAAGTCTCTAATGGTAAGATTTGAGTGCTTGTGGAGTTACTCGGATTTTTTTTAAAATTGGACAATTCCTAAGGGGAGTCTGGCGTGGTTTGGGGATCGAGTGGGCGGTAGCGAGGTGTGTAAACCACATGTATAACGTTTTGTTGAACAGAGCGGTGATTTTTGTTATTACAAATACGCCGACTTAAAAAGGAAGCTTCCAAAACGCGAAAAGGTTGTAAATTTATTTGGTAAAACCAGGATATATTTGTGGATCTACTACTGTCTTGATCAATTAGACAATTCCTAAAGGGAGTCTGGCGCTGCTTGAAGAGCGAGTGAGCTAAATCCTAGCAAAGCAGGTTTAAAATGAAAGTACTCCTTATGTTAGAGCCAAGGGAACACGAAGAGGGTCAAGTTCGGTTAAAGTGAGAAGTAGACCAACGTTACCTGATCCAGATTGTCTGTTGTTGCTGATACTGTTGATGATATAATGGGACACTCTGGAGTTCTCCGACACGGAGAGCACGTAGTCTCCGGGGATGGTTATCGAGTCCCTCACGAGGAAAACACCATGTCTCTGTCCCTGTAAAAGAGAAACCGCCTCCTGGCGGCTCAGTCTTCCCCAATACCAGCTTGCACGGTCTTCGGCATCAAAATTACCGGCCATGGCTGTGAAATCCCGTCCAAGGCTTGAGGCCTTTCCCCTTCGCCTCTCCCTATCCGCAACTCATACAAAAACTTTGGTTGACTAACACTCCCGCTGGAAAAACGTCACAACGGCACGATTTTCGTAACGTCTAAGCGTAATATCAAGGGGTTTATTTCGGCGGAACGAATTCTGCACCACAAATCCAAATGATCTACTTTTTGTTGTTTAAAATAACTAAAAAAATCATAACTATCGTGCAACAAGAAACTCCAAGGCTGAAATGGCGGATCTAGGGAAAAGTTGACCTCATCTACCGGAAGGGATGCCCGGTCAATGGGAAGCGGTGCGTTCACGCCCATTAAAAGATTGGAAATCTACCAAACGATCTTTCATCTCCGTTTAAATTACGGCTACATTTAATGCGGATGCCTTCTGCTTATATTAGTTTGCATGTGTTTTTTTTACTGATTATGTCATCTTTGTCTTAGCTTACAAATTTCCAAAATTTAAATCCTTGACATGACTGGAAGCCAAGCATCGCTCACCGTAAGTTTATGTTGAAACCACAAACGCACCACAGAAGTTAAAAAGCGTTAACATTGTGAAAATCGTAAAATACAGCTTTTTCGTTTGTTTGTTGTTGTTGTTGTTTTTTAGCATTCTTTAAGAGATCAAAATAAACTTAATATAAACTTTTGTTTATATATTAATACCGTCCTTGAATGGACTTGCACCAAATAAGTATGCCTCTATAAGAAGGAAAACACAATATTATTAAAGATCTTAAATCTCATTAGCCTTTTTCTCAGGTTAGTTAATCTGATGCTTAATTTCTTCCTATTTCTATTTTAAATCACAAATTAAATAATGAATTAACCTCCGTCAGTTTTACCACCTACACCCAGGCCTGATTACTGCCACATCTATTGAATCAAGACTTGACTTAAACAGAACCTGTCTGACAAAGTTAGGGACATCACCAATTTAGAAAGGGTTACAAATCCATTTTCAAGGCTTTGGGGCTCCAGCGAAACAGATTGAGAGCCATTATATACAAATGGAGAAAACTTGGAACAGTGGTGAATCTTCCAAGGAGTAGCCAACGTATCAAAATGACTCCAGGAGCACATCAATGACTCATCCAGGAGGTTACAAAAGCAGTTCTTAGTGAAGGGTGGCATAACGAGTTGTTAGGTTTAGGGGAAATTACTTTTTCACATAGGAACAGGTAGGTTTGCATAGCTTTTTTTGGATTAATTCAACTTATCTTTGTCTATCAATAAAATTTGTTTGATGATCTGAAACATGTAAGTATGCCAAAAAAGGGGGAGGGATTCTTGATAATCGCAGTAATTACAGTATTAAAGTTACACCCCACATGCACATTAGCCAGTGTGCAGCCTTTTATAAGAAAAGGACATTGCTCATTTGCAGACAACGTTTCCTTTTATTACATGTGATGTTTGTGTCCTTATTTGATGTGAAACAGCCACAGGAAACTATATTTTAAGAAATCCACTATAAATGCTGAAGAAACTGTGGGAAGCTGGTGAGTACAGGTACACACACACAGTATAAAACTGATGAACATATTTGTGATTGGCCACAGACAGCTGAGATTTCCTGTTAGCTTGCTTCACTTTAGGCTCAAAGTGTTCACAGCACACCGTGGTCAGCGCCGTGTAGGCTTCGGGACGTGCTCTGATTCAAGAGTTATTCAAACTTCTTCAGGTGGTTGTAGAGAGACTGGACGTATGTAAACACACACATGGGGTCTGGCTTGTCCCCCATCTCCAGCATGTCGTCCACCTCGATCAGACGCAGACAGTCAGCCTGCTCTCTGAAACAGAAATAAAGGTGAATAAAACAGAAAGCAGTTCAATAAGCAATACATGTATTTGCATATGAACAAAAACTAAAACAGCCACTCTTTTTTTAAAGCACATCCAAATGTGTACGACTGTATTATTATTATTATGTTTTATGAGCAAATCAATGCAACGTAAAATAGGAGTAAACTAGTGGCTGTTGTTGCCAGTGTCATGTTTACATACTTCAAAGTTGTTTAGGATGTAAGCAAACAAAAGAACCCTCTCATGTAATTTTTTTAAAGAGTTAATAAATGTAATGAATAAATCTCCAGTGGCCACACCTTTAACAGTGATGTTATTCAAAGGGTGATCTTCACTACACAAACAAAGTTAATGATTTATCAATTATTATTAATTTCATGACTAAACTATCAATTAGCGATGAAAAATTAATCTATTTGTTTGGGTATTCAATTTTCCCTTTTTTTTTCTTGTAACAGTCATGCTAATGCTGAAAGTGATGTTGAAACAGGAAGTACTAGTGGGATTCTTGAGAGAGGATGCTTCACTATGGTAACCAAGGAAACAAGCCCACAAAACAAGTGGAAAAGGTTACATTTTAACCAAAACCATGAACGTCCTTTTAGTGCTTAAACTGATACATTTATCTTCTTCTTTTGGCTGCTCTCTTTTAGGGCTCGCTACATCATCTGCCTCCATCCCAACTTGTCCCACTGACCCCGCCGTCTGTCTCCAGACTCTTTCCTGTCACTGGTGCTCAGTATGAACCTGCCCGTGTTTGAATCATTATTAACTGACAAATTAGCACTGTGTTTGAAAACATTAGCAAAACAAAGGAATCACCGCTATGATTTCCTATTGGAGCCATGCTATGTAAATGAAATAAGTAAAATTTTTAAAAAAATACAAATAAAATAAAAAAAAAATACATTTTTGTGAAACATTAAAATGTGTAATCTCTGTTTAACATGATTAATTTAAGAACTATAACCTGGAGGATTTTTAGATGATAAAAACTGTAACCCAGAAATCATTTTTAGAGTGATATTCATTGAGAATAAGGTTATACATTTATGGGGCGGAAAAGTCCAATATTCACTGAGACTCTTTGAATTTACTTCTCACATGTAAGGCTTTAAAATTCCAATCTCCCTTGTGTTTTCTCACAAATTTATGACTTTATATTTCTAAATATATCAAGCTTTTTTCCCTTAATTATTTTAATCCAGTAAAACCTGAACTGAATTGGCAGAAAATTGTATTTTTGTTTATCAAGCCTTCTGTAAGTATCAGAATGCATATATTAGTTTTAATTTTTGTAATAATTGCTATATCCAACCACTTGGGCAATTTATTCCTCACAGTTTTTAAATCTTAAACAAACCAAAGTAGGTTAGAGTTAAAAATTACACTGATGATGTAACGTTCTCATAAATACACTTGGCGTTACAGGGTTAAACCTGGTAAATTTAGTTTTTTCTTGCAAGAGTGTCACCTCTCCTCGCGTCAGCAATTTATTATTCCACCTAAAACAGACCTTTTATCACACTGCACAGTCACTCAGCCAGCTTACTCTGCGGTGGTGAAGGCCAGCTCCAAGTTGTGTTTGCGGTTTGAAGGGTTCAGAGAGTTGTAGTCAAACTCCAGAGGGAAGAAGGAGTGGACCAGGGCGCAGAAGGCCATCCCATCGCTCCAGCTGGATGAGAAGTTCTGAATGTCTATGTTCTGAGAGAAAATAAACAGTCATGTGTTTCTTTTTCATTTATTTATTCACTCAGAGCAAAGCTGGCAATATTCACTAATACACAGTGTCTGTTCCTGATGAAATTACCAGCCAGAAACCTCAGGAGGTGAAGACCGCCCGTCCATAAAGTTCAATCTTTGCTTTGCTATGAACCTCTTTATGGATACAGCTTATTAACCAAGCTTTCTAGCGGTAGCTGATAACTTAGCACGCAACCTGAAAAAGACTTCATGTTGGCAAATCGAATGAGTCCAGAGTGCAGCAGCCAGAGGTCAACCACTGGTTTGCCAGATCCCATTCTGAAGCCTTGAGATTGGTGTTTTCAGATCGGTGCTGAAAGCAGTGTCTTTACTGTCTTTAACTGATGTTTTGCAGACATGTGACCACTAACCATGTGACGTTAACTTGTCCACCATTATGAAACTCACTGTGACAGTGTAAGACCAAGTGACGAGAAAAATTGCCAACCAACTAAGTGATAGGTGAAGGTTGATACAAAAATGATTGCCAAAGCCTCTGTCACACAGAAATATAGATTAACCCACAACCATTTGGAAACTCCTGTTGCTAGCGAAAGGTATGTATTCCCCAACTGGCTGGCAAAAATGACTGCAGTCATAGTGATGGAAGTGATGGACTTCTCTAAAACACCGTCTAGCTACACTCCAAGCTGTAGTGAAACTTGAAAAAGTGCAACACAGACCAAAAACGCAGACAATTTGCCTTCCAAGTAAAAGCTCCACCTTTTGAAACATGTTGGTTGCAGCACTAAGGTGAAACTTTTATTTTGAAGGTGAACCTTCTTGATTTACGGTTTGCATTGCACTATTTCAAGTTTTACTGTTGCTCAGCTACTTGTTAGTAAGTATTTGCAGACAAACATCAAAAAACTAAAGACATCAGGGGCAATCTGGTCGCAATTAATGCAACCACTAGGAAGATTTTTGTGAAGGACCTTCTTTGAACCTAGTTTCACCCAG